CAGTCTTCGTGGGAACGATACTCTACTTATTTCTATATTACTTGTGCGAATTGTGCGCTTGCAATAATTTCACAACAAGTTTTTGGCGCCGCTGCCGGGGATTGTTTTATTTTCTATTAATATCAATATATTTTAATTCGGAGTTTAATTTGAATTTTTCTTTTTATTTTCAGGTACATTGGATTTTTCCGACACCCCCATTTATGGCAGATGAAGCTGAAAGAGCAGTGAGGGAATTTGGCCCCCCAGTGGCAACTCCCTCAGCGATCCGACGTCCTTCTATTGCAGCCAACAATTTTGAGATCAAGCCAGCCATGATCACCATGCTACAGAATTCATCCGTATTTTGCGGTCTGCCGAATGAAGATCCAAATATACATCTTGCGATATTTTTGGAGATTTGTGACACATCCAAGTTCAATGGGGTATCTGACGACGCGATTCATTTAAGGCTATTCCCCTTCTCTTTGAAGGATAAAGCCAAGCTTTGGTTACTGTCACAGCCACAAGACTCCATCCGTACTTGGGATGATTTATCCAAGAAATTCCTTGCTAAATTTTTCCCACCAGCCAAAACTGCAAAATTCCGACAAGATATTATGTCATTCGCTCAGTATGATAAGGAGCCTTTATATGAAGCTTGGGAACGATTCAAAGATTTGTTGCGCAAGTGCCCTCACCATGAGCTACCAACCTGGATTCAAGTTCAAACTTTCTACAATGGGTTGAGTCAAACAAGCAGGACACTAGTTGATGCAGCTGCTGGAGGGGCTTTAATGGCAAAAACGGCTACTGAAGCATTTGAATTATTGGAGACCATGGCGTCCAACAACTACCAATGGCCGAGTGAGAGAATGAATCCGAAGCCAGCTGGGGTCTTGGAAGTCGATGCTATAGCTTTGCTAGCAACACAAATTTCTAACCTTACTAAAAAAGTTGATTCTTTGAGTGTTAATGCTATAAACACTAATACTAATTTTGGTTGTGATTTTTGTGCAGGTCCTCATCCAAGTTCAGATTGCACCACAGGGAACCCATTCACGTCTGTTGAGCAAGTCAATCAGGTTGGAGAATTTAATCGACAAATAAATAATCCTTATTCCAATACATACAACCCCGGTTGGCGAAACCATCCAAATTTTTCATGGAGCAATACTCAGAATGTATGTGCAGAGACCACCACCTGGCTTTCCGGCTCAAGAGAAGAAAATAAATTTGGAAGATGCACTTACTCAGTTGACTATGTCTACCACCAAATTTATGACTGAAACAAAAACCCAATTTCAAAATCAGAGCGCTTCTATTCGGAATTTGGAGGTGCAAGTAGGCCAACTAGCTAATGTATTGAGTGGAAGAAATCAAGGAGTATGGCAAAGCCAACCCGAAATTAATCCGAAAAATCAAGAACAAGTAATGGCAATCACACTTCGGGAAGGGAAGCAAGTGAACACAGCGGTCATCTTGGAAAAAGAAAAATTAGAAAAAGAGGAAGAAGCTGAGAAATCTCAAGAAGAAGAAAATTATGCTGCTATGCCGTCCCCTTCTCCTCCATTGAAGCCATATGTCCCACCGATCCCTTTTCCGCAGAGGCTGAAGAAAAATAAAATTGATGGGCAATCTTCTGATTTCTTAGAAATGTTCAAAAAGGTGCAAATCAACATTCCATTCGCTGCAGCTTTGGAACAAATGCCAAGTTATGCAACATTCATGAAAGACATCCTTTCCAAGAAAAGGAAATTTGGTGATCATGAGAAAATCCAACTGACAGAAGAGTGCAGTGCCATCCTACAACGGAAGCTTCCACCAAAGAAAAAAGATAGAGGGAGTTTTAAAATTCCATGTACTATTGGAAATAATTTCTTTGAAAAAGCTTTATGTGATTTGGGGAGCTTTATGTAATTTCACAACACTAGGATTTGCTTTTGGATTTTGGGGAGTTTCTGGCACATTGATGTTCCACGAGTCAGGCAGATCCACATAGTTCAAGTTCTTCATACTTATTAGGCAAAGGGTAATTAGTATGATATGTATTCAAAGATTGAATATAACGTTTGAAGTTAGCATGATATGTATTCCATTTTCTAGTTGTACAAAAGAAATTAGCATCATACTCCTGAATTAACATATGCCTCGATCATCATATATATATATATATATTGCCGCTAAGATTAATTTGGTTTTTGTAATTTATCATCAACAATTGTTTAAGATATTCGACCTT